TAACTATCTATCTAACTATCTATGTATTTCTCAATCTATCTACCTAAAGGATGACCAAAAGTTTTGGTACCTCACAGAAAAATTCCCTTCCCTCTCTTATAAAAAAATCAGAAAAAGCTCAAAATTGGACTAATAGTCAAGCAATACCAGATGAGTATCACTCTAAGTGTTCACAAGTAAAGCTCAAGTTATCGTGAAGATATAAATTCAAACTAAAATATTTTTTTCGTATCATCTAACCAAGTAACCGGTATCGATGATAAACGGTTGTATTTTCTATCTTTTTTTTTCTCAATTTCTAATATGCTTCTTGAAAAAAAAAACATATTAGAAGATGGAACGACAGAAAATCTACAATCTACAATAGAAAGCTTATTTTATATATGGTCTTTTAGTGTTCAAAATGGATGAGAATGATGAAAAGAGAAAATAAAGAAAAAAAAGGAATTCGTCATGTATAAAAAATAACTTTTTCGCAACATTAGAATTCACTCACTTCGAAATCTGCTGATTTCGAATACTAAAAGACCATATATAAAATAAGCTTTTTATTGTAGATTATAGATCTTTTGGCGCTCCATCTTCTAATATATTTTTTTTTCAACAAACATATTAGAAACTGAGAAAAAAAGATACAAAATATGACTGTTTATCATGGGCACCGGTTACTTAATTAGATGATGCGAAAAAAAATCTTTTAGTTTGAAGCTATATATCTTCACTATAACTTAAGCTATGGTTGTGAACATCTAGATTGATACTCATTTGTTACTGCTTGACTATCAATCCAATTTTGCGCCTTTTTAATTTTTATCAGAGAGAAAAGAAATTTTTCTATGAGATACCAAAACTTTTAGACAAACCTTTATCTATCTATTTATATATTATTGGGAGCAGAATTCTAGTGGTGATTTTACTGAAATTTGTCATGGACTTCATATCTTCTTTAGCTTCAACATAACAATCTAAAATAACCAAAGTGAATAATATCTAACAGATAATAGTTGCTTTTCAAGAATAATCGATCCTTAGAGAATCGATCTGTCTTATTTATTTCTGTGTTTCTAACAGAATTTTTTTCTCTTATTTTTTTTTACTGGCGCTACATTATTTATTTGCGTTGTTGTCATTCGCTTGTGATTTATTTTTTTTTTATTTCGTCTTTCCTAATTTACTATTATTATTACTATTATTTTTGTTCTTGTTCTAACCAATGATTTGCTTAAGAAATTAGCCGGTTGTACATCTTCATTGTATCTGCGGCAGGTCCCAACGCACTACTATGGACCTTGATAAACTTATCAAGTACTGGTTTTGATGGTTCTCTCAAATTAGAATTTGATCAATTAATACTTTGTGTTGCTCATATGACGATCGTAGTAAATCAATACATCACCAGTTATCATCCATCTTTTATATGTATCATATACTCATTAATTTGAGCAAAAATCAGAAACCGTACTATATATAGCATTCAAAAACATAGTCCAACCATTTAAATTTCAAGGAAAGCTTTGAAATGTTCTAGCACAATCTGAGCCGTGTTTGTTAACACCGTTAAGCGCCCTTTACCGTTGCTAAAGAATCATGGGAAATGAGTCTGATGCTTGTTGTATGTCGGTTACTATGGCAGAATTTGTGTCCAGCGCTCTTTAACCTTCGACCGCGGCTGCTAAGGCCTGTAATGAGGGAATCGAGGGAATATGAGCCTGAAAATCTTCCATTTAAACTTATACTCACTATTTTTCTTCGAAAAATATATGTGAATTGCACAAAACGTGTTGTTCATTGAATTGTACAGTTATGGTAGCTGTATACGACCAGATACGATCGTGTACGGTGATATACGACCGTATACGGCAGTCGTATAACTCCGTATACGGAGCACAGATATTTATCTTTTAATCACTCCGTATTTTTGTACGATCTCCGTTTACGGAATCCGTTTCTCACCGTATTGCTCCGTATACGCGCATCGTATACGGAAGCCGTGCACGACCTCCGTATATCTCTGTTTTTCTCCGTAAACGACCGTTTACGAGCGTGCATGTTCGACCTGGGTATGAATGAGAAAGCTCTAGAATATTACACATTGGCATTAGACGAAAATATTCATTTACTTCCTCGGCACCATATTACAATATTGTCTGTCGTTGGTAAAGTACTCGAAGAGATGAATCAATGAGTAGCAGCTTTACAAAAGTATATCAAAGTGGCTGAAATCTATTAGACTGAATTACCATATGCAGATCCAGAGCATATTGCTCATGTCGAGAAATACATTGAACAAGTTACATTACACTTTCTTCCACCCGATAAAGAGTGGGGTAAGTATGGGTGTGGGTGTTCTCTCTACTAATACCTTCACTCACACCCACGCCACACCCATACCACTTTTTTCCAATATTCAAATGTTAAGGAATCCACATAAAAGACTTCATTCTAGAAAATAAACATTTTACAATCAGCTAACTAATTTTAGTGCATAATTTGAAGATATTTCAAACAACTTCTAAACTTTACAAATTCTCAGACTTTAATTCATTTCAGACTCTACATTTATATCAAATTATTGTAGATGATAAGAACATTATTTTCTTAAAACATTTTGAATGAAGTTGAGCGAAAAAGTTTCAAAATAAATAGTCAGTATACTGAAAAAGTAAATTTATGCATTATAAACAGCAGAAATAATTCATTTGCCAACCAAAATGCATTTTAATGTCTATTTTTCCATTGTTTAATTGATTCAAATGCACTTTAATGGTCGAAATGGTGTGTCGACAAAAAATAATGCATTTTAATGAACATTTTCTCATTATTCTTTTGATCGGGATGTCATATTTATTGGCTTGAATACAGTTGTCAACTAGCAAGAGAACGTAGTCGACAATTCATCTATATAAACAATCTCTTTACATTGATGCAAACTATTACCCTGAACGTCTAAGACAAATGTTTATTGTAAATCCACCAGCGATTTTTCCTACTCTTTGGAATTTAGTGAAACATTGGTTTGATCCTGTAACGAAAACAAAAATTATAGTCATTAAAAAAGGTCCTGGAACATCAAGATTATTATTATAACATAATGACCTTTAGCATTTTTACAGCACGTAGATGAGACGCATACGAAAATAAAATAATTTGACACAAGCCAGTGCTTGTTTTAATGTTTGTCAAAACATAGGAAATATGTTTTTGGAAAGTTTCTTTATCATAACGACTGTGTTCCCTTTCTGATAATATTTCCTTTAGCTTCACTTTTGAATGGTTTTCAAATATTCCCAGGCTAGGTAGGATGTGGGTCTTTCTTTCATCAATACTCCTACCCACAGCCTTGAAATTCTCCTTCTTGGAGATATCTGATGTCCACTTACTCTTTATTTCTCCACATCGTATGTGCAAAAACAACAACAAAAAGAGTATATATACTAGTGAATTGGTAAAACAACATTTAAAAAATATAAAGAACAACAATCTGCCGTTAGAAAATAGACATTTTTTCATACGAACGAATAAAAGAATTTTGCCTACTTGACTTAATTTGGAATCAGTTCTTCTCTCGTTGATGACAACTTCAGTATCACTAAACGAGCGCTAATCAGCCAATCGAAGTTAAGCATGAGATTCTTCAATGTGATTTAATTCAGACGAGAGCAACATCTTCATAACTTTCTGTGAGAAACCCTATTCAGTATAGATAAAGTGTTATCGAATTTTTTGCGCTGCGCAACACGGTGAGCGATCCGATAAAAAAAAACTTTGGGATGCACTGTACTGAGCGGCCGTGTATGGCCGTCCGCTTCGATCCCTGATATGTCGTATCGAAGTTACACCGGCCGTCGAAGTTGTAACTTCGACGGCCGGTATAACGTCGATACGATCTGTATATAAATAAAAGACAATTGCTAAGCAGTCACCTATTTTATTATTCTTATTTACATGATGGATGAAGTCTTTTCTCTCGATATTCTTTATGCCGATGAATATGTTCCTGAGCAGCTCTACCAACTTGCTCGACATGGTTTATGTTCTCAATTAGATGCTCGATTACATGAACTTTCAAATTCCACCGAATACTTGGCAGCATTAACTTGGCATGGTCAAGAACAGTTAAGTTTATTGATGGTTGCAGCTCTCAATGGATATGATGACATTGTTCGCGTACTTTTAACTCATTGTGATTCAACACATCAGATTGAATTAAAAGGACAAGTAATCCTTTATGATGCAAAACTTGTCAAAGGTGCAACAGCACTTTATTGTGCATGTTATCGAGGACATTTTACTGTGGCCAAAACTCTAATAGAACTTGGTCAAGCAAATGTTAAACAGGACATACGTGATCATCCATATTATCCACTTTTTATTCATGCTACGATAATGAATCGTCAAGATATAGTTCATTTTCTTTTGGAAAACAAATATGCGGATGTGAATGAAACGAAATCCAATGATTGTGATGAATCTACTGCATTGATATGCGCTGCATCTAGAGGTTACACATCTCTCGTCAAATATTTGATAGAAAATGGTGCTGATGTTAATTATTCTTCTCGGAATCAAAATTTTCGATCTACAACAGCAATCATGTGTGCCACACGTTGCGGTCATATAGATGCACTTCGACTACTCTATAATGCAGGCGCAAACACTAATATTACACACATTACAGAAGATACTTTACTCGTGATAGCTGCTAAAAACAAGCATTATTCAATCGTTAATTTTCTACTCGAACAATCGATATATAATACTGTAGACGATCTTGAACTTGCTGCTTGTTCTTTATTTGATATTTCATCTTCCGTTGAACAAATGAATGTAGTATTCGACCTCTTAAGAATTGCTCTACAAAAACGTCAGCTACTACAAATACCAAAAGTTTGCATACAATCAATGGATATCTACAACTACGAGCAAGAATGTCAAACTATTGATGAACTTGATCGGATCAAAGCTGATCATGATCGAATTTTTATCGAAATATTACTTATTCAAGAACGTATTTGTTCATCTCGAAAGGATATAACAATAATAAAATCATTAGAAAATTATAGTGATAGACTCGCAGACAAGAAAGAATTTGATAAATGTCTTAATGTATACATTCATATGTTCTATTGTTATCAACAAACAAACATCAATAACAATCTGGCACGATTTGTTTGGCTATACTGCAAAATGCTTACTGAAAATCGAATAATACCTATTCATCGTTTTATACAAGTCTGCTATTTAACATTTGATTTAACAGAAACTAAATATATCGAGCGCACTATATGCAATGCACTTTTTTTTGTGATTATAGCAATTAAAGTAACTATTTTTCCTTTCTGTATTTAGTTTATATATAATATATTTAGATTCTTGAACAAAAAGGAATAACTAAAGAAGAACAAACATTAATTTATTCTTGGATAAGAGATTTATGTCGTCATCGACTGACTACTCCAAGCGGACAAACTCTACTTCATCTTTGTGTTGATGAAAATACTAATTATACTCTCAATTTTCGTCGTAGAGATACAATTATTCACATAAAGTAAGTGTGAGATTCTCATGTTCCTAATAGATTTATGAAGAATTTTGTTTTTTTTTTAGATTTCCGAATGAATCTGTACTTCGATTGTTATTGGCTTGTGGAAATCGTTGGCTTGATTTAGATGAAATCGAATCTTCTTCTAGTGATACACCTCTTCATATCATATGCAAAAGAAATAGAGATCAAAAGATCATTAAATTACTTTTGAATTCTGGATGTCATATGGATTGTGTGAATAAAGATGGAAAAATTCCATCAGATTATATATATGATAAAGAGATTAAAGCTTTGTTTACAACAAAACCAACTCCAGATCGTCTCAAATGCTTTTGTGCACGAATTATTGCTAATAAACGTTTGAATACTGGTACTTCGAGTGCATTAACATCAGCTTTAAAGAAATTTGTTTTCTTACATGATAGTTTACGAATTCAATCTGATTTTAACTAAAAGAAAAATTCAACAATGACTCGGCCTCTATCATTATTCGTTGCTTACTCCTAAATTCTTTGATCAAAACTTGAGAAAGTAGTCATAGTAGAGTTCATTTTACATTTATTATTTTTTGTTTAAATAATGATTGAAGTTTCTTTCGTCTTCGAGTTGAATTCGTGTAGTTTTACTAATTTGTTTTCTTTTGTTTGTGTTCATTTAATCTTTTTCTTTGTGCAACAAATTCTTTAATCTATTCAACTGTTTGTCTTCTTCATGCAAATGAATCATTTTGTTCTGAAATTGATTACAATAAATCACTTCATCTATCACAAGAATCCATTCAAAAATAAAGTTCCCAATGATTTCGTTATGGAATATTATCTTTTGTAATAATCGCTTGTTTTATTTCACCTATTAGTGAAAGTTTATCAGATACAAAAAATCGAAAATTATCTATTGTTTTAACAATATGAAATGTAATCATAACACGGTCAATTATTATAATTGAAAGTATTTTTCGAGATACTAAAACATATTTAGTACTTTATATTTTAGCAAATATTGTCAATGGATTTGGTGAAGGAACATTAATTCTTATTTCGTATGTTATTTATAATAAAATTAAAAAAAAAATGTTTTTTTTTTTATTTAGTTCATGTTTTAGTTATGCTATTGATTTATGTAGTGAAAAAGAACAACATGTTCGAATCGTCATTATTATTTATTTATTGTTCCACTTTTATCACTGTTTTTCTATGAACTGTTTCGCATGGGTTCATCATCAGTTTTTTATTTATATTTACATTGGATGTCATTTAATGATACACAATATGCAGCTTATTTTACTTGTGAATAATTAGGAACTCGTTTCACATTAATTTTCTTAGCACTATTAAGACGACGATGGAAAATCAATGATCTTTATTTATGTATTATTGGTTTATGTCTTTCATTAGCAGGACTGATGTTATTTGCATTTGCTCGAAACAATAAAGCGATGATTTTTGGAGGTAGAAAAGAAATTTATAGAAAAAAATGATTTCTTTTTGATATAGCCGATCCTTTCGATGATGTTTGGTATTCATTTTCCTGTATGTTTAAGAGTGATTATTACTCATTTAGTACAGAAAAGAGATAAATATTTCTAGACAAAGCATCTAGTTCTGTTGCTTTATTCAAAATCTTGATATTGTTTTGGGTACAATTACTTGTATGCAAATTTATTGGACATCGATTAGTTTTTTTTTGCTGGTCGTGTGTATATATTGGGTTTACGACAAGATTAATTGCATTAATACTTATTCTGTAAGATGTTTGGAAACGAAATCCTTTTTTTGATTATATTTCATCTCTTTTAGTGTAAAAGCTTTTTTGTATTAGTCATACATGGCAAATAGAAATCCGAATGCCAATTGATGTCGTTGAACATCCTCTTGTAGATGTTCAATTGAGTACTGATGATGAATTAATTTGTGCATAACAGAAATGATATTAGTTGATTTTCTCTGTAATAAATAAATAAATACATTTCATTGATATGATTTTTTTTTCTCTAGATAAAACGATTAATATATTAGTAAAACTTTCATATCTATTTTTTATTGTTAATATTGTTATTGATACTTTGCCAATTAATGGAAATGTATCTGTTATTTGAATAGAGTACATTAAATGCAGGAAAATGTACTATGCTTTTGGAATATCATATGAATAAATTACCAGCGACTTTACGTATTTCACAAATCATATCGAAATTTGAAGTACCGAAAAAATTTAGTTTAACAAAAAACTGCAAAAGATTTAAAAGCTTTGGAATTCATAGTTTAAAAGATGATAAACATATTGAAGATTTACCATTAGAATGTGATGGAAAGATTAATCCAGATTTTCATAAGGAGATATTTTTGGATAATGAAAGAATTTGTTTGTTTCATACTGTGCTGAAGTTTGTTGATTGATTTAGAGTGGATGTTGATTATGATCAACAATTATCGAAAGATGAATTACTTAATTATGTTTTAAAAAATGTTAATCAATATTTACAAGAAGCAAAAGAAAGAAATTCACAATTATTTGTATTAATTGATTCAAATGACAATGGTAAATTAAAAAATGTCAGTAGAAAGATGTGCAGGACCAAAATTATAAAAAAAAACGAGTGCTTAAGGGAACATCCTTCCTTTCCGAGGCTTCTCGATGAGTAGAACAAAAGTTGTCATAGACGCAAAATTCTCAAATGCTCCCTTTTTGGGCATCTTGGGGATACAAGAGCTAAAAATGATCTAAAGTTTTTCTCGTCCAAAACCCCATACTATATTTTTTTAGGGCTGAAAATTCTTTTGAAGCAACTAGGATTAAATCTGGATACGTGTTTCTTTTTCTTAAATACAGAGTGGCGCAAGAGTCGGTTTAAAAAATGGGATTTATCAGTATTAAATAGTAAAAGTTCTATCAATCTTCTTACATCAGATATAACAAATTTCTAGAATTGTGAATCAAATTTAGTTTTTGAACATTCTCACGAAAGAAATTTTTTGCATAGTAAAATTCCCGAAAATTTCTAAAGATTTGTTATGTCTGATATAAAAAGATTGACAGAATTTTTACTATTTAATATTGGTAAATCCCATTTTTGACGGGCTTTCATTTAATATAAAATTCATTGTTTGTTCTATTTGAAATCATACTGGAATAATATTATTTTTAACCGTGTAGAGCCCGTGACAACTGAAAAATTCTTATTGATGTTGATCTTACTACATAGGAACAGTAATTTGTCGATATTTCTCATATGAAAAAAAAACTTTATGTAAGCAACTATTACTAGTAAAAATTTCAGCTCATTTGGTAGACATTTAGATGGAAATGTTTAAATTTCTTATCGGGGTGTTATTTATGGGGCACTGTATGTTGAAGGACGAACGAGTACACTAGATAAGAACATCAATCGACAAAATAGAAAAGCAGTAGTTCGCTTGATTAGTTTTCTTTTATTAATTTTTCTTCCTAAGAATTGGGTGTGGGTGCGGGTGTGGGTGGGTGAGTGTGGGCGTGGGTGTGAGTAAGGGTGTGGGTGTGGCTTTGGTTGTGGTTGTGGCTGTGGGTGTGGGTCTTCTCAGCCTCCATACACACATTCACACCCCAGCCACACCCTTGGCTATAAAATTCGTCTGGCTAGTTGCTAGCCAGATCAGATCGGACAGAAACAAACTGTTCGGTTCCAATTCTAATATGAGCTCATAAAAGATAGATAATATCGAGTTTTGAGTCGGAATATCGCAGCCACAATTAGGTCTAACTATCTAATCCGAATGGTATTCGGTTTCGAACGTTTCAATTAACTGTTCAGAAAATAAGAAACTCTATTTCAAGAGAACTCGATTTCATTTATTAATAAATCGGCTTCTTATGTAACAAAAATTTGTATAAAAAATATAGAAATTTCATCGAATATTCTGATTAGTTTTTATTAAAACTGATTTAGAATTGTGCAAAAAAACATTTTTTATCGATTCTATATGATGATAAGCAGTCGAATTGTAATCCAGTTTTATTTATATTACATTGATTATAATCGATTTCTGTATGATTATTAAAACAATTTTAATCAAAGTTAATCAGAATAATCGATAAAATGTCGTATGTTTTGATTGAAACCGATTGAAGATGTACGATTTTTATCGATTAAAAATTGTTTTTTTTTTACATGAGTCCTTTCCGATAATTCTGTTGGACAATTTTTTTTCGATTAACACATTTCTATGTGCAAGTTCTAGTCGTCAACAAACTCTTTCAATTCTTCAAAATTACGAAAGATCAGACAACATAGTGAAAGTATAATTCGAAATAGGCATTGAGCATGAAGGAGGACATAGCGGTAGCTGTGAATCTAAGCTTCTCATCACTCACATTCTCTCAAACTTATAGCTAGACACGCACACATCATTTACACACTCTTTCTTTTAGTTTAGAATAAGCAAATATGTTTTCGATTGTTATTTTATGATTCTATTCTAATCAGTGTGAGTCAACGATTTTTCTTTTACAAACAAATTACTTCTTTGAAGAAACCGTTCATAACACTTCTGCGCACGATCGCAACATGGTTACTTTGTATACTCACTTAAACATATGAAAAGGCCAGCAACTAAAGTTTCTTGTTTATTCAACGACAACAAAATTTGTCAAACATTTTGCTAGAAGCAATGTTTCAATTTAGCTATTAATTGATACCATAAGAATACCGGCAATTTGAATGTCATTTTATTTGTCCTCATATCTTTAATTCATTTTTATTAAACTCACATAATTCATTCGTACAGTTTATTGAGACAGAAGATGTATCGAATTTATGGAACAAAGTCACCAAGATTGATCGAAACAAATTTGGCAGATATTCAGTCTATATCGAGCAGAATATCTTCAGAAAGGTTGGTTTGACATTGTTAACGTTCAAATGAGCGTATCTTAAATATTTATTTATATTTTAGACGATATAGGTCCCCACCATTGGCAGTTATTTTATCAATTTTCTGTGGCTGTTGCTTATGCGCCATGCTAACAGCC